TATTTTTTTTTACAAATCCAAATCACTTGAAATTTGGAGTATGTGTACATCAAAATAGGTGAATCTTCAAAAATATATATATATATGTGAGTAGTGATACTATGAGACCCTCCCACACCCATGTGAGTAGGACCCCAAAGGATCGCCATTATATTTTGACACGGATCTCTAGAAAAGTTATCAATAAATCTATTCACCCATGTCATAACTTTTCTAGAGATCTGTGTCAAAATTTAATGGCGATCCTTTGGGGTCCTACTCACATGGGTGTAGGAGGGTCTTATAGTGTCATTACTATATATATATATATATATATATGTGCATGTGTGCATGCATATGTGGGTGTGTGTGCTGGCTTGAGACCTCCACTCATGAAGACTGAAAGATCATGTAAAATAGAAGAGGTACATAGAGACCATGATTCTTCAAAACAGAAGTATAACATTTTTGGACATAGATATGCAACTTGCCAAGGCATATGAGAAGTCAAGCAACAAAGAAAAATTCCATCCATCAGTATCTCCAAGCATAACAACGCTTGCAGTGTCACATATTCATAAAAAAAAAAATTAGAGTGCCCAAGGAGAATTGAAAAACTAATATTTATGCGATTTAAATATTTGTTATTGATAACCCTTTTTTTTTCTTTTTTTTTCTTTTTTTTTTTTTTGAGAAAAGTTTAACTTTTATTAGTAATCCATATTATTAATGAGAAACTGCATTGTATAAGGTTAGTGTCACATATATCATCAAGATTTGCTAAATTATGTCAAGAAACTTTAGAATCCACTATAGTCTCATTCAGCCATGTTAGGAATAAATAAATAGTAAAGCAACAAATGAACCAGGGGAGTACATACAGCAGAAGATCTCAGTTGATTATCTGCACCTTCATCATCCTCCCCGAATCCCTCAGCAATTAGGCGGATCAAGTTATGAGCCACTTTGACATTTACAAGATCACCAGCATGCTCAAAGACCTTATTTATGGTCTAGATGAAGAAAAAGATACACGGGATTAAGAAAAATCGAGAAGAAAATTTGGCACGAAACTCATGTTTAGAAGATGGATTAGTACTTATTATTTGTGAATACCTGGATAAACCACTGGTTACTGGGTGCAAATTGCTCTGCAAGCTCAACACACCGAGATGCAATTTCTGTTTTATAGTGTGTGTCATTGATGCTAATCATGTAATCAATCATCCGATCAACAATTACTTCGACATTGCTGGATTTTGTCATTTTATAAAGCAGATCTAGAGTTTTCCGCTTCAGAGTATCATCAGGATCCTGCAACAACATACGTGAGTTCCAATCCAAGCTTAAATGAAATTCCAATACATAGATGAGTCTCTTTATATGTGTGTTTTTGTGCATGCTTAACTGAAGAAGTAAATCTGAATTCAAATATCCCACATCAAAATTTTCACAGTTTTCATTTAAAATTTACCCAAAAACAAAAGATATCACACTCTAGACAGCCCTAAAAAGCTGCGGTACATGGATGCCAACCCAGATGTTATGTCCAGTACGGGTCTCAAGTATCTATTACTTCGGCATAAAAGTAGAAACTGTCTAACACATCTAAACAAGTAATTTTTTATAAAAAATTTCAATATATACATCTCATATATATATATATATATATATATATATATA